ACTGATCATCACAGCTTTACTTCCAGTGAGACACATTTGGAGGAGATGAACCTGCGGTGCCTGCTCTCATGAAGGAGGAAGTGCATTGTTTGCTCCAATGACTGTGGGGTCGACCCCACTCTCCCGCTTTGCTCTCACCTGAGGACCAGTTCCTACTGCCCAGTGGCTCAGTTAAAGGGTCTGCCTGCCAAGCAGGAGACATGTGTTCAATTGATGAATAGATCCCCTGGAGGAGGGAATGGCAATCCCCTCGAGTATTCTTGCCTGGGAAATGCCTGTGGACAGAGGAGCCTGGCAGGTTATAGTCTGTGAGGCCCGCAAAAGTCGGACACAACTGAGCGACTAACGCTCTCACTTTGAACGAGCAACCACAAGGCAAAAGGAGGCATTGAATCACGTCCACAAACCACCAGCGTTTGCAGCCTCAGCGGGACCTGGGCTGTGAAGTCACCCGGCCCTGGGACCAAAGGCGTGAGATGAAGAGGAGGAGCAACGAGGGCTTTGTGTCCCCTGTCGTCTGCCCTCAGGTAAGGACGTCTGTCTCCTTTCTACAGAACAACACTCGAAGTTCCTGCTGCAGTCGGGTCCCCAGCGTCGGTTAAGTAACCTGGATTAGCCTGCCCTGCCCTCAGCTCCCACCCCTCCAAGGAAGCCCGCTCTCATTCAGGGACCACGTGGAACATCAGAGTTCTCCACGCATCGTGGGCATCTCCATCTCCTTACGGGTGGAGACCGCACCTCTGCAACGAGGAGCCCTCCATCGCACCTGCATGGAGTCAGGAGCATGAAGCGTTTGTGAACCTAAAACCAACACGCTAAGATCCAGGGGCACAGTGTCAAGTGTCAAGACTAACTAACAACTGGGACTTCCCTGGCGGTCCAGTGCGTAAGCATCCACCTGTCGGTGCAGGGGACACAGGTTCAATCCCTGGTCTGGGAAGATCCCAGATGCTGCAGGGCAACAAAGCCTGAGTGGTACAGCTACAATATGCTTCACAACAACAAAGCAGAAAGCCACCCCAATGAGAAGCCCTCCCACTCAGGGGAGCTAGACAGTAGCCCCCTGTTGCAGCAACTAGACAAAGCCTGAGTGCAGCAAGGAAGACCCAGCACAGCCAAAAGTAAAACAGAAGTAAAAACCAAAATCAGCATTTACAGACTCAGTGAGACCTGGGCTGTGAGGTCACCCAGCCCCCGGACCAAAGGCGTGAGATGAAGAGGAGGAGCAACGAGTGCCTTGTGGCCTGTGTCGTCTGCCTCGGGTATGTATGTCTGTCTCCTTTCTACAAAACGACATCCGGAGTTCCTGCTGCAGTCGGGTCCCCAGCATTGGCTAGGTGAGCCTGGGTTAGCCTGCCCTGCCCCCGTTCCCCCCCCTGCATGGATGCGCTCTCTCTCATTCAGGGACCAAGTGGAACATCAGAGTTCTCCATGCATCACAGGCATCTCCACCCGCCTAGGGGTGGAGACCACCCCTCTGCGACGATGAACCCTCCATCACACCTACGTGGAGTCAGGGGCATGAAGTGCTTGTGAGCCTAAAACCAACACGCCAAGATCCAGGGGCACAATGTCAAGTATCCAGACTGACAAGTGGGACTTCCCTAGTGGTTCACCGGGTAAGCACCCACCTGTCGGTGCAGGGGACACAGGTTCAGTCCCTGGTCTGGGAGGATCCCACAGGCTGTGGGGCAACTAAGTCTGAGTGCTACACCTATTGAAGCGCGTGCACCGAGAGCGCACAACATGCTCCACAACAACAAAAATGAAGCCGCCACAATGAGAAGCCCTCGCATGCACGGGAACTAGAGAGTAGTGCCCTGACGCAGCAACTAGACACAGCCTGAGTGCAACAACGAAGACCCAGCACAGCCAAAGATAAAATAAAAATCAAAACTGAAAAAAAAAATAAGACTAACAAGTGGTCCTTGCTGTAAGTTTTAAATAGCAAAACTATAGCTGTGCTGAAAAGTATGAATAACACATTTTTTGACTGCAGAGATCTACTCTAAGAAGCGAGTTTGAAAATACATCATTTTAATGATCTCTGCTGAGTGTTTAATCTGCTTTTTAAAAATAACTTTCTGTTAAATACTTTCTAATGATCAATAAAGTGTGCTAGTACTAACTTACATTCTTTACAACAGAAAGAATACATACGCATGAAATAATTGAAAGTGGGAAAGAGCCTTTTTTAGAGTACTATGGTTATAGAAGGATTTGTATACTAGAGAAAGTGTGTATCATCTCCTAAGATGATTTCACATTCATGAGACAGTTGGCATCTTATTCTCCAGCTGCCGCTGGACCCCTGGGCATTTCTAATGCTTTTCTTCATTTGACAATGTGCTCAGTTGCTCAGTCATGTGTGATTCTTTGCGACCCCATGGACTGTAGTATGCCAGGCTCCTCTGTCCATGGGATTCTCCAGGCAAGAATACTAGACTGGATTGCCATGCCCTTCTCCAGGGGAGCTTCCTGATGCAGGAATAGAATTCGTGTCTCTTGCATCTCCTGCACTGGCAAGTGGATTCTTTACCACTGCACCACCTAAGAAGCCCTAATATTATGTTAGAAAATTAAAAACAAATCCCCTGTGTGATAGAATTGGAGGCTAAATGTAAATCTACCAGATGTTCACACTAAGTCGACAAAGCCTTTTTTTACCACCCCCTCGAAAGCAGTCCTGTCACTTGGGGCCGGAGCCACAGTCGTCGCAGTAAATAACCTGTGAGCCCTGCGTCTCCTTGGTCCTGCTCCCTCTCCCTGGCCCCAGACAGACGCTTCCTCGCTGTGCCCCTGCCTCGGGGTCTTTGCAGTTTCTGTTCCCTCTCCTTAGAACACGCTTCCACAGGTGTCCCCTCGTCTCTGGCACACACAGAACTCCTGCACTCTCGGCCTGTTGTTCAAGTGTTACCTTCTTCGAGAGATACCTTAGCTATCTTTACAGACACTGTATCCTCACTAGAAATTCCCTAAGTCGCTTCCCTGCTTGTTTTGTTCACAGCACTTAACGACATGTATCTCTGCCGTTTCCTTTGTTTATAGATTTATTAGTCTCCCATCTTCTCTTTCTCCCCACTAGACCTTGAGATCCATGAGGACAGGTTTTGATTGCTTATCCAATGTTTGCAACCCTAGAGCCTACACAAGTGCCTTGTATGCAATCCGGTTGTTTTTTTTTTTTAATGGGATATAATATAGGTGCTTTACAATGCTGTGTTCATTTCTACCATAAAAAGTAGAAAGTGAGTTAAAGTGAGTGAGCAAAGTGAGTCAGTGGGCAAGTGAGTCAGTGAGTGAGAAAAGTGAGTCGGCTACACATATACATAAATCCCCTCATTTTTGGATTTCCTTCCCACTTAAATCACCACGGAGCATTGAGTAGAGTTCCCTATGTTTTCCGTTGGTTTTTCTTTGTTTTTTTTTTTTTTCCTTGTTACTGGGGGTTGGGGTTTATTTTCTTTTCAGGGTTAATTTTCTTTTTTTTTTTTTTATTCATTCATTTCTGTCTGTGTCTTCGGTTGTTTCTTTTTGTTTTATTTCTCGCCCGTCCATTTAGTTAGACTGTGCTCATCCTAACCCTGTTTTGCCTGAGGCCCTGCAGTGTCTCCCACATTCTCCTGTGGTCCACACTGAAATGGGGCAGCACAAAGCCTTACTAGTAAAATTCCACCACCCGATTCTGGTGACTCAGCCCTGACATTACACTGAAACTCAGCATCAGTGCTGTGGATGGAACTGTTTCAAAGGCTGAATGCAGTAATCAGAGCCATTATTCAATCAATACACTACTTAAACAAAAAGTGGGTACTCTCATCTCCTCACAAACATGTTTTTATTGATTTTTTTCTTTTTGAAATCTTTGTCCTTTTTATTTAAGTACTAAAAAATGNGGGAAGCCTGGCGTGCTGCAGTCCATGGGGCTGCAGAGTCGGACACAACTGAGCGACTGAACTGAACTCAACCGATGCAAACCAAATGCCATAGTCAAACAGTTTAAACTGGTGTTTACTTTAAAATAGTTTCTGCTCTGTTCTCCAGATTCACCTGACTTTACTTCTTACCTGTCAACACCATTGACCTTTTGGACAAATTCAGTTGTGGTTCTGGATTTTCAGTGAAACTTTTTATGCAAATATACAAACCCAGAATTATTCAAACTATAGAGATGATATCATTAGAGTGCCCACATAATGTGACTTTTAGGTATCTTCCACTTGGATTCAGTATCAACATGTCTGTCTAGATAAAAAGAAGCATCTTTAAACAAAGCAATCTGTATTTCACCCTGAAAGTACACTAACTAATTTGTTTGAGCACAGACATTGGATTATTCATGACTTATGTTTGCTTTCTGGAGCTAAAAAGTGTCTTCTAATTTTACTGCTTGATTCGTCTGTGACTCCCAATCTTATTTTTACTATATTATCATTTTCTTATTCTAAAACACTTGTTTATTTCTTGGGGAGAGCAGTTCTCTTACTGTTCTTTGTAGAGAACAGTATTCAGGTATTACAGTTTCAGATTTGTTCCAGGTGGTTTCTATTCTTTTGTTCACACAAGGCCAAACATTTCGGAGAGTTTTCAAAGAAGAGATTGGAGTTCACTGAAAAGCAGCATTTTCTGCAATAAAACTCAACACATATTAAAGGTGTGAAGAAAAAGTTACTAAGGGAAAACTAAACTCAGGTCATGGGAACAATGAGAAATTCACAAGTACACATGGAGAAAACAACATAATTACTTATTTGCTGGGCTTTCTTTTTTCTTAGGTTTTTCTGGTCTCAAAAATTACCAGAAATGTATGTGGATCCAAAAATAGATGACAACGAGGTGAAAGGTTGATGTTTGGATGTACTAAAGACATACTGCAGAGGGGGCGCAGGCAGTGCTCGGCGCGGACTGCGAGCAGAGGGGCTGGCGGAGTGCCTTGGGGCGCAGTTCGGGGCACCCGCGAGCCCAGGGCGTAGAGTCCAACAGACTGCGCTCCTGGGAGCCTTACAGATGGGCAGCAGGACTACAGAATAGTACCCCTAAATGGAGAGAGATTACAGGGCTGATCAGAAAGGATGAGAAACAAGAAAGTTACTCTTTATTTCTGAAAGAGAGCATTCTCCGATTCTTCCTCCACCTCAATCCCTGTTGCTATGGAGACCATCAATGGGACTGAGACCTGGTATGAGAGCCTGCACGCTGTGCTGAAGGCTTTAAATGCCACTCTTCACAGCAACTTGCTCTGCCGGCCAGGGCCAGACAACCTGACTGAGGAGAAGCGGGCCAGCCCGCCTGGCCGCAATGATAACTCCTACATGTACATCCTCTTCGTCATGTTCCTCTTTGCTGCCACTGTGGGCAGTCTCATCCTCGGATACACCCGCTCCCGCAAAGTGGACAAGCGTAGTGACCCCTATCACGTGTACATCAAGAACCGTGTGTCTATGCTCTGATGCTAAGAAGCCAGGGATGGCAGAAGATCAAGATACCTGAGGATTATCTTCTGGGGACTCCAGAACTCAGCTGTGGGCCATATCCAGCCTCTGTGTCCTTATCTGTAAGGTTAACAAGAAACAGTGCTAAAAATATCAGAAATGTATGTGGATCCAAAGGTAGATGACAATGAAGTGAAAGGTTGATGTTTGGATGTACTAAAGTCAAGGATGTTGTTAGCGGTTAAGACGAGTGCATCTAAGAAAGGATTTATTTTCCATGACTCCACACTAATTAATGATTGAAACTGGGCACACTTGAAAATCGATTCTGGGACAGGGGTAAATACATGCATTTCTGAAAGTCACTGCAACTTCAGGAAGGGAGGATATACCTAGATGCATGGTTACAACTTTTTCTCTCTTCTGAAACAGTTTGTGCAAACACTTCATAGTTTTAATACAACTTTAATCAATGTCAGATCACCATTGCAGGAACTTCTTGTGTTAAAAATTAATTTAATTAGATATTTCTTCTCTGATACACAGTTTCAAAGATGACTTTACCCTTAGTTCATCACATTAACTATTGTTTCATAGAAAAATAACAAAATTTGATTCTATGTTACCTTGTTCAGCTCAAAAATGCACAAGATTGTAGTAATTCATTACTGAAAATGGACTTCCCTGGTGGCTCAGTGGTAAAGAATCTGCCTGCCAATACAGGAGATGTAGGTTCAGTCCCTGTGTTGGGAAGATCCCCTGGAGGAGGGCATGGCAACCCATTTCATTATTCTTGCCTGGAGAATCCCATGGACAGATGAGCTTGGCAGTCTACAGTCCATGGGGTCACAAGAGTTAGACATAATTCAGTGACTATGCAACCACCACCAATGTTGAAAATAGAAATACTCCCTAGAGCAAAAGAGTTAATGTATTCATTTGCTATTGATTCGGAAATTATAAATGAAAGTTTTAATGACTACACAAACACTTGCATATGTATTTACTTGTCTTTATGAATTCTGATCCAATAATTAAAAATAGCTGGGCTCCATGTGAGTTACCAATGACAGCATCTTGAGTCATTTAGAAAGTGTTCGTGAGAGAAAAAGGAAAAATTAATAAAGTGATTTAGCTATTGAATCTGTATAATCCAATACATATTTGCAAATTTCTGCAATTCTTCTCAAATACTTGTCTTTCTCGAATGTATTCTGTTTTAGTTCATGAGATGTTCACCCCCAGTCACTGGGAAGGGAAAGGGTTAATGCATAAGGCAGGAAGATAAAGCAAAGTTCATGACTTTAAAATTTTTCATTTAAATTTATATTTTTAAAAAATTTTTCAAATAATTGAATTTTGACCCATACACCTTCATTACATATTCCACAGATTTTTTTTTTTTTTTTTTTGCAGGGGGGAATGATAATACTTTTAAATAATACTTTTATTAAATGATAATAATTTTAAAAAAATTTCTTGTTTGGAGGATAATTGCTTTACAATGTTGTGTTCGCTTCTGCTGTATAACAATGTGAATCGGCCGTGAGTATACATGTGCATTAGCCTGGAGGGGTGGGATGTGGTGGGGTGCAGGAGGGAAGCAACAATTTTATTTTTTACTTTTCCTGTGCTGGGTCTTCCTTGCAGCACATGGATCTTCTCTAGCAGTGACTTGTGGGCTTAATTGCTCAGTGGCATGTGGGATCTTAGCTCCCTGACCAGGGATCAAACCTGATCCCCTTGCAGTGGAAGCATGGAGTCCTAACTACTGGACCACGAGGGAATTAATTTCTCCCTTTCCTTATCTAAAAATAAAGAAAGTATTTTACATGCTACCTGGATGATATGATTTTTTAACAAATCAAGTTAAGTTGGAAGAAACAGATAAATATCACAGACAGCTAGGAAAGGAGAAAGTGATGATTAGGAGAGGAAGTCTTTGCATAAAAAATAAAAATAGGATTATGAAATTAAAAAAATTAATTGATGCCAAATAATATGTTGACATCATGAGATGTGCTTATGTACAAATGGACTAATTTCAGTAAGGCATAACACAAAAATATTAAATGTGAATTATAAAAGAACACATTAGAAGAAAATCCTTCAACTATAACCTGCTGAGATGTCTGTCTTGCAAGCCTTCCATAACATGATTAAGCCAGAGAAGCTGAGCTCATGGAAAGAAAGTATTAATAGATGGTGGTGAGTGGGCTTTACTTGAAAATGGGACATTAAAAATCAATATCCAACATATCTTTGGCACAATTACATAAAAAGTGGATAATGCATTTAAAGTGCATATTAATGCATGGTACACAATGAGCACTCAATAAATACCAGCGATTATTATTATACAGTGGAAGTGACAAATAGATTCAAGGGATTAGATCTGATAGACAGAGTGCCTGATGAACTATGGACGGAGTTTCGTAACATTGTACAGGAGGCACAGATCAAGACCATCCCCAAGAAAAAGAAAGGCAAAAAGGCAAAATGGTTGTCTGAGGAGGACTTACAAATAGCTGTGAAAAGAAGAGAAGTGAAAGGCAAAGGAAAAAAGTAAAGATATACCTGTTTGAATGCAGAGTTCCAAAGAATAGCCAGGAGAGATAAGAAAGCCTTCNAGAGTCCCTTGGACAGCAAGAAGATCCAACCAATCTATCCTAAAGGAAACCAGTCCTGAATATTCATCATAGACAAGTGCGAAGGACTGATGCTGAAGCTGAAACTCCAATACTTCGTCCACCTGATGCAAAGAGCTGACTCATCTGTAAAGACCCTGATGCTGGGAAAATATTGAGGGCAGGAGGAGAAGCGGATAACGGGATGAGTTGGTTGGATGGCATCACCGATTCAATGAACATTAGTTTGAGTAAGGTCCAGGAGTTGGTGAAGGACAGGGAGGCCTGGCATGCTGCAGTCCATGGGGTTGCAAAGAGTTGGACACAACTGAGCGACTGAGTTGAACTGAATGCAAGAAAGATGACCACCATCATCCATGAGGCTCAGTTATTTCTTTTTGAGGCTTACTTAGTAAAAGAGTAACTCCAAGGCTTCCCTGGTGGCTCAGGGGTAAAGAGTCCACCTGCCAATTCAGGAGACACGGGTTCCATCCCTGGTCAAGGAATACCCACAAGCTGTGGGGCAACTAAGCCAGAGGCCACAGCCACTAAACACACACACCATAGAGTGTGGGAGCCACAGCTTCTGAGCCCATGTGCTGCAAGCATGGACACCTGCACGCCACAGCAGGAGAAGCCACTGCAATGAGAAGCCCATGCCTGCTAACTAGAGAGTAGCCCCCATTCGCTGCAACTAGAGAAAAGCAAATGCAGCAACAAAGACCCAGCACAGCCATAAATAAATAAATACATAAATAAACATTTTTTAAAAAGTCTAACTCCAATGATTGATGAGTGATTTTGACCCTGTTTGGTTCTGCCTCATCACGGAACCGTTAATATTTAATGGAAGCAACACAAGCAGTGAAATCTGTTCACTAAAATCTGTTTGTAAGGCCTTCCTCATAAACTGCAGAACATTAGAACTTGAGCATTTTTGACTCACCAGATTCTGCTGCTTCACACAACTCAAATAGGTCCAACCACACTCTCTAATAAAAATATGTCAAGGGCTTGCTTGGGGTTCAGAAAATGGGGTGTCTCATTTGCCCACTAGAATGTACAGTTCATGGGATGGGAACATGCCTGGCCCATCACACAATATTTCCTCAATGAATACAGGAATAGCTTTTTCCACCAAGTTTCTTGTTTTTGAACTTGCACTTGTCTCACATTTAAAGCAAAGTGTTAATTGCCCTTTTCCCCATTTTGCTTTATTTAAAACAAGAAAACTTCTAAGTCTTCTATTCTTAAATTCTTCATCATATCCAGACCTAGTCTTCCTATATAGAGCCTTGGTTGCCATATTCAGAGCTAACAACTAAATAAAAATTAGGGAAAAAATATTTTTTCTCCTAATACAAAGGGTCTGGGTTCAATCCCTGGTCAGGGAACTAGATCCCATATGTCACAAACAAGACCAGGTGCAGAAAAATAAATAAATAAATATCTAAAAAATAAATAAAAGTTTCTATTTCTTATGAGATTGTTTCAGAAACATTTCAGACCTATAATATTATATTTTCATATTTATGCAAAACAGGTTTTACAATAATCAAGGCTATAGTTTCATAGAGCATGACGTTGAGAATAATTCTCACTGAAGACCAGATAGGTCTTAAGTGATATGACATTGCTTAAAATACCACAGTCTAATACTGGTCTTCCATTTCATCTGTATTACAGTAGTAAAATGTACAAATAAAAGCATAAAGATACCACAGTAAAAATAAAGAAGTACTGTGGTCAAGAAACCGTGGTCAAAGGCCCTCTATAGTTTCTCTGGACCTAGAGCTCCTCCAGGCTCCACCTGTGTCCCATCCCCACTTCAGCTCATTGGAACACCTGTGCTTCCTCACCGTCCTGCCAGCTTTTCAAATGAATTCAGGAACCCTCCTGCAGCCCCTCCTAACAGTAGTGAGCAACAGTGCAAGTAAGGTGAGTGTGTGATGTGTTTACAGTTTTAAAGATAAAATCACAAGTGCCAATAAACTATCAAATAATATGTGAATCTTCAAGACAAGACTTTAAAATGTGTGAAACTATGAGTGCTATGTGACTGAAATTTGACAAAATATCCAAGACTGCTATCACTGCACAGCTTTCATGTTCTGTTGAAGGGATATTTATATAAATAATTGAAAACAGTGATTTTGCTGAAATGAAGGTAATAAAAGTTTACAAAATATAACTCAATTTTTTTCCATCTAAATACTACTTTCCCTTCAATAGATCACCTCAATTTGTTCAATCAAAATTATATTACTTCAACATTATCTTTAAAATGAAAAGATAAATTAGAATGAAAAGAATAACCTCCAACTAATAAAAATAAATGGAAAAAAATAGTTTGTAATGTCATCCCCCCAAAAAAAGAAGAAAAAAATAATCAGAATGACTTGAATTAAGCTGAATTTAAATGCTTTTGAAGATGTTATTAAGTCATTTATTTTTATAAAGATAAGACTAATGCTTATCTAGTTTAATATCATTTACCTGCCAAAATAAATTATGG